GCGGCCACCAGTACATAAATTTGTTAAAAAAATAAAGACACAATTTCATCCATGCAAGCCTGTCATTATTGTTTTCTTTATTTCCAGACATATGCTAATGATTATGTAAATTATATGCAAACAAGCCATGCATGGCACAGTCCCCGTTAGTTATCAAATTTAAGATATATAGTTTTGTTTATAGTAATATAGCTGGAATATAACCATGTCAGGAATATGATTTTTTAACATTAAAATGATTGACATTTGTATCTGATCGTCAAACAAGTACTTGTCCATATTGAAAGATATTGCTCTGGAACAGCATTCAAAATCAGCCATTTTGAATACATGTGTATATATATAATATGATGTATAACGAATATATAAAATTTGAATATAATCAGTCAAAGCATTTAAGAGATATGGCTCTAGAAGCCCAATCATTAAAACAAAATGGCCGCCAGTCAGCCATTTTGAATCCAGTCTGAAAAATAAAATGACGTGCATCAGGAACCCGTAAAGTCCAATGTATGTACCAAGTTTGGACGAAATCCATCCATAAATGCCAGAAATGCTTGATATTTGATGATTTTTTAGTACAAAAATGACCACCATTCGGCCATTTGGAATATGATCGTCAAACAATTTTTTATCTGTTTATCTATGACATGATGTAAAATGAATATTTAAAATTTGAATATAATCAGTCAAAACAAGTCGTAGATATGGGTCTAGAAGCCCATTCATTAAAACAAAATGGCCGCCAGACAGCCATTTTGAATCCGATCTGAAAAATAAATGATGTGCATCAGGAACTTGTAATGTCTAATATATGTACCAAGTTTGAACGAAATCAATCCATAAATGCCAAAAATGCTTGATATTTGATGATTTTTTAGCACAAAAATAGCCACCATTTGGCCATTTTGAATAGGATCCTATCTATGACAGGATTTATAATGAATATTTAAAATTTGAACATAATCAGTGAAAGTAAGTCAGAGATATGGCACGAGAACCACATTCATTAAAACAAAATGTCCACCAGTTGGCCATTTTGACTCTTATCTGAAAAACAAAATTATTTGCATCAAGGTCTCATAATGTCTAATGTATATACCAAGTTTGAACAAAATCCATCTGTAAACAGCCGAGAAATGGTTGATTTTTAGGATTTGTTAGCACAAAAATGGCCGCCATTCGGCCATCTTGAATCAGATCGTAAAACAAAATTATGAGTATCAAGGTCCTATAATGTCTAATGTATATACCAAGTTTGAACAAAATCCATCTGTAAACAGCCGAGAAATGCTTGATTTTGATGATTTTTAGCACAAAAATGGCCGCCATTCGGCCATCTTGAATCGGATCGTGAAACAAATTGACGTGCATATGTATAATATCATGTATGATGTATGTGTGAAGTTTGATTGTGATTGGTCCAGGCATTTCTAAGATACAGGTCCGGACGCACGCACACACGCACGCACGGACACACGGAGGTCAAAACATAAGTCCCCATTTTTGGACTGCGTCCGAGCGGGGACTAACTAGCTGCCACTCTGAGACATTTTTCTGGGGAGAACACTGGTATATACAACTGAAATGGGACAGAAGCACTGGAGGGGCATGGTTAGGGTGAAAATTGTGAGTGAGAGGCCTAAGAAACTTTTACCCGTAACTCCAAAACAGAAGTGGCTTACTTAATCAATCACAACTTCTTCTTTAAATTGATATTGGTATTATTCAAATGTTTACAGGTTAGGTACAATACATATATACATATACATAGGTACATATATTTATATGTTGGGGGGATTTACTCTCAAGCATACAGACAGGAGGGGGCAGCATGAATCTTTTGACCATGAACTGTCAAACTATCACTTTTGACAGAAAAGTTTTGAACTATCTCTTGGTCAAGCCTGAATTTAACCATAGACCTTAGTTCTCTAAGGTGCATGATTTAACAAATCACATTCCCATTGATAAATATTGCAATGATTAAACAGTTTAAAATTAATATAAATGATTAGACAGATTGTCAGGTGACATTACAGCCCAAATTGAAGTGTCTCTATGATATTAATAAAAAACTATTCTATATGCATAAAAAAGAGAAAACTGGCATCTGGTACCAAGTTACTAGTCTTACTTCAATACTGTCTCCATCGTGGTAACTCAGATATCTATTAGTCAATATAAATACTCTGGCTTTGTAATTCACCGGACCCATTCGTCGTTTGTTGATAGACCTCTTAACCATGCATGATCTCTTTATGATATCTGCAGGCTCAGCCATTGTTTCAATAGTCCTCCAAAGGTACCGTAATAACAGTTAAAATGTCAATGTCTATCTGCGTGTTGGAATAAAAAAAAAGGTACTTGCGTTAACGAAGACATCTAGTAGTAATGTAGTCGTCATGCAGTAATATACCAAGGATGTTTTTGTTAAAAATGAAAATAAATAGTTATAGAATATTGTCATTGTCAAAAATATTCATGGCCGATGACGTCATGCTATGATTGGATCTCTCTTGGGAGAGTGGGAGGTCCTAGTCTTTTAAGATATTGTACAGGACGGGAATGAGGAAGCGTACCTAATTATATACAACAGGTGCCCTTGCAAAGCTATCTGAACAGCTAGCTCCACAAGTTTTCCCACGTGGGTGCACGTTGATTGATGAGAAGACTGTGGCGATCAAGTGCACTTCTCGCCTGATGTTGACAAATCTGTATAAGTCTACATTTTCTAGGACAGTTTTAACGAAGACACAGCCCGTACTTCCGGACACTTCGGGTAGAACTCCACTGTTACGAAGTGCATTCTGGGTCATTAGTTCCCCCTAGAAAAGAACTACTTAGCTCACTGTATTTTTGTGACAAGTGTGCGAATGTGAACGAGACTAACACAAGATACTTTAAATATAAACGTAGAGAAAACATATGTAGTCTGTGGTTTCAAGACACACATTTATTTTACTGCTATGCTAATAACATTGAACAGCAGAGTACACATAAACATTGTATTAATTTATTATTTTATTTGTAAATTCACACACACCTAGAGGGTCATTATTATTCCGCCATGTTTTGACTGGTATTTCTTCGTTTCAACAACAACAACGTAAGTAAATTTACAATTCGTTCTTAATATGCGCATTGTTGCGCATTTAACTACCGCGACTGTCTTATTTAATTATTAGTAATTGGGTTGAACCATCTATTTCGTAATTTCAGTACGATTGTTTGTGTAGGTGTAATCGTAACCATACCGAAGCTGCCAGTGACTTATTTCAACACTCCATGCGTGATACCATGTACCATAGAATGAGCGGTCTACAATATCCTGTGTATGCTGAAGTGCTGCGGATGTAGTTGTTTTTCAAAGAAATGTAAAGGTTCTTTCTTTGAAAAGGTGATGACCGAACTCGGCCAGTGATTTGTTTTTAATCATAGGTTACTGAAATCAACAACTTATCATTGGTAGCATCACTGGGAGTGTTGTGTGACAGATATATCATCTGAAAATGAAATGAAACTACCGTACTTGTCTGACTCGGCACCTATGCTCGCCTAAGCGGCCACCCCCTCCCCCAAATTTTGAGGAATTTCTGATGTCGGGTTCGTGTTCCAAATTGCTCCAAATTTGACTGTCCAGTCATATTAAACCTGGTGTTTGACCTTTCCAAAATACAGACAATCAAATTTATATAATATGGAGTGGATATCAACATGAATATTGTGTGAATGCATTGTCCAAAATAATAGTTTGTAAACTACCGATACACTTCGACAGTGACAGTTACAGCCCTGAAAGACGGTAAATACAAAATGTACTTCATTTCATTTTCAGTTCACCTTATGAAAATTGCTAATTATCACTTTTTAAGAAAAAATAATGCTGTTTTTTGCCGAAATCAATTCCAACAAATAGTACTTTATCATCGATATTTCACTTCCGATTGCCAGAATGCCTTTGAAAATTCATGGAGAATTGCATCGGTGCAACAATGCATACTGATTGGTTAATAATAGAGACAACCCATTAGGTCAAAAGATCAAATCGTGCCAGAAAACATCGTGGTGGAAATTACTTTGCATCAAGATTTTGCGTGCAATCAAAAATATTCAATGAAAATAAATTTTCATTTTTCCCACAGACCCTAATTACTTTACACTGTAAATTCTGATGGTATGTAATATTGTAATAAAATGTGCATATTTTTTCTCGTCATTGTAAATGTGTTGTGGAAATCAATGATGATGCAACTCAATTCGCAATTTTAATTCCACCAAAAAAGACATACTGTTTTCCATATTCTGACACGTGGTGGTGAACAAAAATTGTTATTTGACAAATTTTTCGAGTGGGGTGCTTGACTAAGCGCCCACCCTCCAAAAACATGATTTTGTAAGGTAAGTATTCTGGGCACTAAGTCAGACGAGTACAGTATATAAAAACACATGGGACAGACAAGAAAATTGATGATAATTATTGACCCATCTGCCCTTACCCACTTCACACCACGGTGATTACATCTGTCCGAGTTTGACTGTTATGACCTGTTATGAGTTTGAATCTGAACGAGTTTGACTGCATTCTTTGAAAAAATTCAATGCATAATTTACATGGCATGAATGTAATCAATACAATAGCTTACAGTATACGCAAGATATCTGACTTGCCAATAGTGGAACAACATCAAGTAATCTCATAGATTCTGTTAAGATTAAGTTTTCAGCATTTTTGGATGTCATCAAGTCATCGAATCAATGATACCCCAAAAATCAGATTTTTATGTGAAGCACTCACCATTAAGTTCTACTGCAATGTACACCAAACTCACAAGTTGTTTCATGTAGAGACATTTCCCATCTTTTGAATTCATAGCACAACTCTTTGTACTACCGTACTCGACTGCCTTAGTGCCTATGCCTGGTCGAGTGCCCACCCCCCACTTTCGCACAATTTTTATATTAGGGGTCACATTCGACAAAGCGCCCACCCCTTCAAAATGCCATTAATTTAAAACTTGGTCTTTGATCATTGCTTAACAAATATTTGTAATCGTTTTTATATGATACAGCATGGATATCGACCGTCATAAACATGTTGTGAATACGTAGACCACGTTAACCGTGCATAAACTACACTTTGATAATGACCTGTTAATAAAGGTAAAATGCGGTAAATATTTCATGACATTCAGTTTACCTATCAAAAATTGCTATTTACCAGTTTTTTGAAAAAAACATCTAGTTTATTTGCCGAAATCAATTCCAACAGATCGTACTTCGACGTTGATAATTCACTTCCGCATTGTGTAGCCAGAAAGTCTTCGGTAATTTCTGAAGCTTTGCGCTGACACAACACAGCACTCGATCGGTTAATAACAGACTTGGCCCATTAGGTCACAGGACGTTGTTGCAGGTCAAATCATACAAATACATCATGGCAGAAAGTGCTTTTCATCAAGAGTTCTGCTGGATTCATCGTTTTAATTTGGAAAAATCCTTTGCATATGAACGCCTAAAAGAACACTTTCCCAGGGTATTTGAAACTGAAATTGTCGTCTAACTGTAAGGCCGTCGCTGATTGGCTGCTGAGTTGGAATGACAATTTTTGGTTTCAAATACCTCAAAATTGGTTAGCAATTTTGACAATAATACACACTGTGTCATATACAAGAGATAATTTAGTCTTATCTGAAGTCTAACCTTTTCATCACCAGTTCCCTCTTTTCCCATTATCACAAATTCACAAAATAGTCTCGTTTATAGTCTGCACTTTCCTTCAGAAAATTGGGAGAAAAATAGTCAGAGTAAAAGCTGAGAATTGACTCAAATTTTGTCTGTTGGCTCCAAAATTAGGGTTCATTTCCAGAATTATTGTAGTATATATAAAAAAAAATTTGGGCGCAAAATTCCGGTGGTGAAAAGATTAAAAAATGTTATATATTGTTTAGAACAAGTTTTAATTGATACCAGTGTAGTACTGTGGAATACTTTATTTTTGCTGGAATTAATTTTCGCTGAAAAAGCTTTTTGGGCGTTTTGTATGGAATTTATTTTCACTGATTTTTGATGAGTTGAATGTGAAATATAGCAAAAAAAGTATATTCGCTGGATTTTATTTTCACGGAATAGCGAAAATAAATTGCAAGCGAAAATAAAGTATTCTACAGTAGATAAAATAAAAATGTCTGGAATGCATTAACATGTCTATAAAACAATTACAGTATATTTGTTATTTTACTTAATCAATTATGTTGCCCGTCTGCTTGTTCAAAACAGTGACTACACATTGAAACCAAGGATGACTAACATGGAAAACCAAGGGGTCAGCTCATTGCCGTTACCACCAATGCAGTACATCAATAACTATACAGATGAGAATATCGCAAGTGGTACCACACCAAAGCCTCCTCTACCTATAGAGAACTCAAATTATTGTATGTTTGGTCAGTCATACCATACAGATGATCTTATTGTTAGACCTTTAGAAAGTCAGGGAATTAAAAGGTTGCATTCCAAAGTATTTGACCATAAAAGAGAACTCAAGAAACTGAATCACTCAATTTTGGTGAATTTTTTAGACTTGTTGGACATTCTGATCTCGACACCGGGAGCCGGAAAGCGAGAAGAAAAAATCAACGACATGAACTTATTATTCATACACATGCACCATCTGGTTAACGAATATAGACCACATCAAGCAAGGGAAACGTTACGAGTGATGATGGAAGTGCAGAAAAGGCAAAGGATTGAGACTGCCGAAAGGTTTCAGAAATGTCTAAATAAGGTTGTGGAACTATTGCACAGCTGTATTATCTCCCTGCCTGACGATATGGGGCAGTTGGATTGCAAGATTGCAGCAAAAGTTGAAGTGGAAGAAAGTCAACAGAAGCCAAGTGAAAAAAAAGAAAAGGACGTGGGAGAAACATTCACAGATAAAGACAAACTTATGTGCAACTTAGTAGACTCGATTTAATCCCTCCTCCTTTCTCCTATTCTTTTTTATCTGAAAGATGTAGTCTTAACGGATGCCTATATCTGGGAGGTCCTTGTCTTTTAGGTTATTGATCAATATAATTCATGACATCGTGACTCATGGCATGCAGCTGCTCAGTTGTAGAATAGACAGTGCCGTCGTGTGGTTGTATTCTCAGGGGCGGAGCTACATTACAGAATGTTCTAGGTTGCTTGGACACGCACCACTCCACACTCTACCATGTATTTATATTGGTTTCTATGGCTGCTGTCGAATGCCAGTCGAAAGCCAGTGAAAACAGCTAAAGTCGAGAAAACAACACAAACTCAACTATGAGAAAATCTTGAATAATCAAATTTATATACGATATGTTGTACATGTAGAGGTATTCTTGTTACACTGTTCAGAATACAGTTTTCTGAGAGTTTTCGATCATTGTTTTCACAAGTATTGATTGCCAGGTGGTGAGAATAGGAGATGTACTACTCATTCATTACAAAGGCATTATTGGTACAGAGCAATGTATTTTTACAAAGCTACTGTGTTAGTAAAAAGCAATGTATTTTTTTTACAAAGCTTCAATCTAAGTAAAAAACATTTGTTTTGCAAGGAAACACAAGTTTATGGCTGGATAACCGTGCTGTTGTGAGATTGTACACAACACTCATTACGAAGTCGCATTTTTGGTACAAACCAATACATGTATTTGTTGTTAGGGAATACATGATTTTGTAGCTGCATGATTCCAGAAACATCACTGCAATATTTAACCATTTGAGTGCCAATATCAACATTGCCAAAATGCACACAATTTCATTTTTTCCATTTTTAAACTTTTCTCAAGACCTGAATACAATGTAAAATAATTTGATACCAAATTAACAAAAGAAATACATTAAAAAGTGTGCTTGAATTGTAGCAAGAATAAATAATGTGGTCAAAAGGAAGAAAGAAAGCCCTGTCCAATAGTGTAATTCTACTACTGTCTTTGCTTTAAGGCACACATACACCATTATTTTATGTTGGATCATTAAAATAATTTTTTACCATAGACACATCTGTCATTTACTCTGGCACATGCACTACTCGTTGACCAAAAAAACATACTATGCACAGTGAATATAAACTGTCAAATCAAAATAACCCAAACTGTCATTTAGATTACTGTTTCCATCAAGTGGGAATATATGATTCATATCAAAAATTCTATTATCTCAGCACACCATGTCCTTAGAAAGATTGTACATTTGTTGTCATTGTCGCAATCACCTACACAAATTCTTTTATTTTAGCAGGGTACAAGGACATCATGTATGTATATTTTGCCAAAACGCATCTACATGTACAACTAATAAACTTGCCACATAGTATTAATTAATAATTTTACTTTTATAGTAGGCTGGGGGTGTTTTTTTTTTACATTTTCACTATATCTTGACAAAAACAAGAAAACATGTCTAGAGCAGTCTTCTCGGAACTGATACATCAGAAATGAATCGTTTTTATTTTTAGACCATGTCTGTATTCAGAATACTTCTTCAATAATACACAAGAAGAAAACACTGGAATGCGGTTGTACCATAGACTATATATTTTCTATACACTACATGATTGTAATTAATGCAACTATATGTAGATATCACTAAAGGTATGTGGGAAGAACGATAGACAGGAAGTAATTCCTATTGTCTGTGTTGTGTGAATTCTAGCTTTGTCCTTTGCTTTCTATTGCAATGAATAAATTCTATTTGCTACATGTTTTTATTCTGACCGAATAAAACTCTGGTACTCAATAGTAGTGTTCATTCTATATTAAGTACAATAAGCTAATCTTGTACGTTTGCATATCTGATAGACCTAATCGCCTTCACGCACGGGAGGAAACCATGTTTAGCACAGGCTAAGGAATGCCGAAACTTGTTGAGAATACAGTAACTAGGAAGGTTATTAGTTCTACATCAGAAAACAATACCAAAGCAAATTCATAAAGTGCAGATTGCGGAATAACAGGAAGTAGAAGTGGAATGAATAGTTATGAATATAATAGTCGTCCAAACGAACATTGAATACAATGGCGTTTTCGACGCTTAGCCCGAGCTAAGTGCTCACACGCATTTCATTAGCCCGTGCTATGGATCTGGACCAAGTCTTGAAAACGGGCCAGATTTAATCTGTATTACCGTAGCATTTCTTAGCCCTTGCTAAGCATTCATGCACGTTTTCCCAGCACAGCTAAGGTATTTTAGCTCATGCTAAGAAGCTGTGCGTAAACTAATAGTTCCCATGTGTCTCACTTTAATACCTGAACATTACGAGGATTAGCTCCCTACTTGGAAAGAATGTGTACATAACTCTATATCACATTACACTTTTTATCTTTCATAATATGTGAGATGCATCATGGGAGTACCGCTATGTTGTAGGGTTTCATTACTAAAGTAGTGATAGCTTGAGATGCATCATGGGAGTACTGCCTTGTTGTAGGATTTCATTACTAAAGTATTGATAGCTTGTGATGCATCATGGGGGTACTGCCATGCTGTAGGGCTTCATTATTAATGTAGTGTTAGCTTGAGATGCACAATGGGAGTACTGCCATGTAGGGTTTCATTACTAATGTAGTGATAGTTTGTGATGCACCATGGGAGTACTGCCATGTTGTAGTGTTTCATTATTAATGTAGTGATAGCTTGTGATGCATCATGGGAGTACTGCCATGTTGTAGGGTTCCATTACTAAAGTAGTGATATCTTATGATGCATCATGGGAGTATTGCCTTGTAGGGTTTCATTACTAAAGTATTGATAGCTTGTGATGCATCATGGGAGTACTGCCATGTTGTAGGGTTTCATTACTAAAGTAGTGATATCTTGTGATGCATCATGGGAGTACTGCCTTGTTGTAGGGTTACATTACTAAAGTAGTGATATCTTGTGATGCATCATGGGAGTACTGCCATGTTGTAGTGTTTCATTATTAATGTAGTGATAGCTTGTGATGCATCATGGGAGTACTGCCATGTTGTAGGGTTCCATTACTAAAGTAGTGATATCTTATGATGCATCATGGGAGTATTGCCTTGTAGGGTTTCATTACTAAAGTATTGATAGCTTGTGATGCATCATGGGAGTACTGCCTTGTTGTAGGGCTTCATTACTAATGTAGTGATATCTTGAGATGCATCATGGGAGTACTGCCTTGTTGTAGGGTTACATTACTAAAGTATTGATAGCTTGTGATGCATCATGGGAGTACTGCCATGTTGTAGAGTTTCATTACTAAAGTAGTGATAGCTTGTGATGCACCATGGGAGTACTGCCATGTTGTAGGGCTTCATTACTAAAGTAGTGATAGCTTGTGATGCATCATGGGAGTACTGCCATGTTGTAGGGTTTCATTACTAAAGTAGTGATAGCTTTTGATGCACCATGGGAGTACTGCCATGTTGTAGGGCTTCATAACTATTGTAGTGTTAGCTTGTGATGCATCATGGGAGTACTGCCATGTTGTAGGGTTTCATTACTAAGTAGTGATATCTTGTGATGCATCATGGGAGTACTGCCATGTTGTAGGGTTTCATTACTAAAGTAGTGTTAGCTTGAGGTGCATCATGGGAGTACTGCCATGTTGTAGGGTTTCATTACTAAAGTAGTGATAGCTTGTGATGCATCATGGGAGTACTGCCATGTTGTAGGGTTTCATTACTAAAGTAGTGATAGCTTGAGATGCATCATGGGAGTACTGCCATGTTGTAGGGTTTCATTATTAATGTAGTGATAGCTTGTGATGCATCATGGGAGTACTGCCATGTTGTAGGGTTTCATTACTAAAGTAGTGATATCTTGAGATGCACCATGGGAGTACTGCCATGTTGTAGGGTTTCATTATTAATGTAGTGATAGCTTGAGATGCATCATGGGAGTACCGCCATGTTGTAGGGCTTCATTACTAAAGTAGTGTTAGCTTGAGATGCACCATGGGAGTACCGCCATGTTGTAGGGCTTCATTATTAATGTAAAGATAGCTTGTGATGCATCATGGGAGTACTGCCATGTTGTAGGGTTTCATTACTAAAGTAGTGTTAGCTTGAGATGCATCATGGGAGTACCGCCATGTTGTATGGCTTCATTACTAAAGTAGTGTTAGCTTGAGATGCATCATGGGAGTACTGCCATGTTGTAGGGTTTCATTACTAATGTAGTGATATCTTGAGATGCACCATGGGAGTACCGCCATGTTGTAGGGTTTCATTACTAAAGTAGTGTTAGCTTGTGATGCATCATGGGAGTACCGCCATGTTGTAGGGTTTCATTACTAAAGTAGTGATATCTTGTGATGCATCATGGGAGTACTGCCATGTTGTAGGGTTTCATTACTAAAGTAGTGATAGCTTGTGATGCACCATGGAAATACTGCCTTGTTGTAGGATTTCATTATTAATGTAGTGATAGCTTGTGATGCATCATGGGAGTACTGCCATGTTGTAGGGTTTCATTACTAAAGTAGTGATAGCTTGTGATGCACCATGGAAATACTGCCTTGTTGTAGGATTTCATTATTAATGTAGTGATAGCTTGTGATGCACCATGGGAGTACTGCTATGCTGTAGCGTTTCATTACTAATGTAGTGATAGCTTGTGATGCATCATGGGAGTACTGTCATGTTGTAGGGTTTCATTACTAATGTAGTGATAGCTTGTGATGCACCATGGGAGTACTGCCTTGTCGTAGGGTTTCATTACTAAAGTAGTGATATCTTGTGATGCATCTAGGGAGTACTGCCATGTTGTAGGGTTTCATTACTAAAGTAGTGATATCTTGTAATGCACCATGAGAGTACCGCCATGTCGTAGGGCTTCATTACTAAATTAGTGATAGCTCGAGATGCATCATGGGAGTACTGCCTTGTAGTAGGGTTTCATTACTAAAGTAGTGATAGCTTGTGATGCATAATGGGAGTAATGATAGTGAAAGCTTAATTTAAATTCTGTTTTACTGTTTTTTTAGCGTACAGTCTCACACAAGCTTAAACTATTGTGACAATTACTTTTGATAAATAAAATAAACTATAAATCAACTAACTCACTGGCAAACCTCAGGGGTTCATGGCTAATCCACATAAAAGTAATGACTTGTCAAAACCAAAAAACATAATTTGAATTAAGAACATTATTTCATTTATAAAACATTGTTTTTATTGATTTATCACAGTTCAAAATCCCGTGGGCCGTTTATTTCGCTAGTAATTATTCAACTTCCTTTTTCTCATTTAATGTGTATTCAGTCATTACATGTAAAATCTTTAGAGTATTTATTAAACTTTTTAATTTTCAAATTTTGATACAAAAAGGTGACCCCTATGAGTGCATTGTGCACTAATTCAGCCTTGCTATTTGAAAATATGCCTGCAGTCACCCCGAGTGGAATAAGTACCCAGCAATTAACACTGGCACATTAGGTATACCAATACATACTATCACTTGTATAGACTGACAAAGATACATACATATATTATTACTGCATTTATTCCAACATTTTGGCAAACTTTGAATAAGATAATGAATGTAATGATAATGACATTCATTCACCTCAGTGATGCCCAATACAGATAAGTGTACATTTGAAAATAAGTATCTGATGAATAATTAACCACTTGGGGAAAAAAACATAAGCACCAATCAAAGTTAAGTTTTTGATAAGGTAAAATTGCTACCTAATATAGTAAACTTCATAAACTGTCGAATTGTATACACATATTCAGTTTCCGTCCCAGCTAATTAGGTATATAACATCAAACATGTATTTTATCTTTAGTAGCCAAAATTGTATAACAGTGATATTGCATCAGTGTTTGTACAGTTATAGCGTTTGTTGTAATTAACACAGATTGAGGATGTACATTGATTGTTAAAATAAACACTTAGCACAACTACATCGACAAATATTACATAATTTTGCATTTCGTTCGTTGTATACAGTTGAGAGACTGGAGAAAACTTCATAAATTACAATAGCTATAAAAACCTGAGATGGTGTCACACTGTGTGTAGATAAAATATTCATGCAAACAATAAATACATGATTAGTGTACCAGAAAACAAGTGTAAATCACTTGTGTGTAAAGTTAAACTACACTACAGATTAAAAGTGACTGTAGAATGTGTAAATCATAGAATGTTTACAATGTTAGGTAGTGTTCGTAATATGAGGTTAACATTGGAATGCTAACAAAGTGATGTTGATGCAGTGTTAAAAACATAAGGTGATGCATTCAATGTGATGTTAACAATGCAACAATGGTGTTAAAAGCATATTACCAACTATGTATTTTTCTTTTTTACATTTGAAAACATTTGTAATGCCCACATGAACTCACAAAAAGTGCCTTTAAACATGCAATACACAATATAATGGAATTTTAAATATGTATATAAATATACCATTACCGGTAAATAAAAAGCTGCAAATGGTGTCATGATAAACTAATCAAATGTATATTTTAAACCAAAAAAAAAAATATGACGCTGCCCGTAGATCTTTACTATTTTTACTACTGTAGAATACTTTATTTTCGCTTGGAATTTATTTTCGCTATTTTCGCTGAAGGGACGATTCCGTGAAAATAAAATCCAGTGAATATACTTTTTTCCCTATATTTCACATTAAACTCATGAAAAATCAGTGAAAATAAATTCCAAGCAAAACGCCCAAAAAGCCTTTTCAGCGAAAATTAATTCCAGCGAAAATAAAGTATTCCACAGTATATTGTAAAAGTTATCAATGATGAGGCATAGTGAAACTCATAATCATGCCATCAACCATATGAATATTGAAAAAAATTTAGTCACTCACTCAATCTCACTCACACTAAACACTGACAATACTACATTTTGTACAAATACATGTATATGTATAAACCATGGGTTTACACAAGGTTCGGTGACAGGATTTGGATTTATGCAAGGTTTAGTGTTGACAGGATTTGGGTTTATGCAAGGTTTGGTGTTGACAGGATTTGGGTTTATGCAAGGTTTGGTGTTGACAGGATTTGGGTTTATGCAAGGTTTGGTGTTGACAGGATTTGGGTTTATGCAAGGTTTGGTGTTGACAGGATTTGGGTTTATGCAAGGTTTGGTGTTGACAGGATTTGGGTTTATGCAAGGTTCGGTGTTGACAGGATTTGGGTTTATGCAAGGTTTGGTGTTGACAGGATTTGGGTTTACGCAAGGTTTGGTGTTGACAGGATTTGGGTTTACACAAGGTTCGGTGACAGGATTTGGATTTATGCAAGGTTTGGTGTTGACAGGATTTGGGTTTACGCAAGGTTTGGTGTTGACAGGCTTTGGATTTACACAAGGTTCGGTATTGGCAGAATTTGGATTTATGCAAGGTTTGGTGTTGACAGAATTTGGGTTTACGCAAGGTTTGGTGTTGACAGAAGTTTGGACAGGTTTACCTGTAATAACAGGGAATATTTACATTTGATTTTTACGAATTGAATCATATCGTACATGTTTTTATTAGTGATCTGCAGACAAGAAGTCCTACAAAATACACATATAATATCACTGAACTTCCACCATACAAGACACACACACTTAATCACTACATTCAGTTGGGTAAACCACGGTTACTAAAAAAGACGGTTAGGAAACACTATTGTTAAAATGTGTGAATCTGCCTAATCCCTCAAGGATGCGTATCGCGCTGTGTACGCCCTCTATTGCTTGAGATTTCAAGGCCCACCATTTTGTTTCATTTTTGTGTCGATCACTTGATGTTCCGCGAATTTGAAATTTTAAGCTCGTTTTCGATAGAATATCCACGTTTAGTGAACACGCTCTACGAAGAACCACACGTACATTTCGGATGAGTACTCTTTGTGACTGTGAAAACATTCAGAATCGAGAATCGTCATTTATCGTTTTCACTGTTGTCATGAGGGTAAGCTGGGGTCCCGGTAGAAAATATGACAAAAATTCTAACCCCCAAGTCACTATTTTAAAATACATTATATTATAAAAAATACTACCAAATGAATTTTTAGTATACTACTGTGTGTACTTATGAAGGTTGTGTGCGATTTGGGGGCTTATTAGAGTAAATTTTATCGTTTTGCTATCTCGTCACTGTATCAGCCATTTTGTTTAAAGTCGTAACACTTTTTTTGTAGACCCCGTAGAAATTGTTGAAAATGTATTCAACATTTTCCCGCCAGTTTCATAAAATGCCTGTTTAATTGTTCTTGTCTGTCCTTGTTTCAGTTTTTTGGAAAATTTTTCATGTTGCAGTATTCAGCGTGCCGTTAAATGT